GGGGGGGGGGGTGGCGGTGGCAGCATCTGGGAAGGCTTCTGGTAAGATGGGGGCATGTGCATGGAGACCTAAGTGATGTGCAGAGTTAGCCAAGAGAAGAGAGGAGGAAGAGCATTCGGGTGGAAAAGAGACATTCAGGACCCAGAATAAAGAGAAACAGTGGCTCTTTCAGAAGGGCTTAATACAATACAGCAGTTACATGAGAATTGCAGAAGGTGTGGGCGTTAGTGCAGAGNTAAGTCAATACAGCAGTTACATGAGAATTGCAGAAGGTGTGGGCGTTAGTGCAGAGTGGAGGCATTTTGTACTAGTCAAGAAGTGCTGACCCATTTTCCCATAAAAAAGAAGCAAACAAACAAAAAAGAAGTGTTGACCTTTATAACCACCCTGTGAATGGTATTAGTCCTACTACAGATGAAGTGACTAAGGAAAATTTTTTAAAAAAAGAAAAAAAAAGAGGTCCGTACTCTGCTCAATTCACAAAGTAAGTTGAATTTCTGCTAAATAAATATATATGTATGTGTATATTTATATGTATATCTGAGAGAAAATAATAAGGATTTGCAGATTTGTTTTATTTCTATAGTTAATATAATTTTGAGTCTAATAAAATTTTCAGAAATTTTTTTCTATGTCTCTAATGTATGTTGTAATAAAATATTTTTAAAAGCAGATAAGTTAGTATTTGTATTAGTCAATTTGGTTTTATTACTCTTGCATCCAGAGCATTTTATGATCATAAATTCTTGTTATGCATAAGTTTTCAAATAAAATCATCTGGGTTTATTGGTACCCAGAGCTCAATATTACCTTTTTATGATTAGTGAAATCATATGAAGTGAATAAAATGAAAATGGCATTTTGCTATTTTCTCTAGAACAAAATACAGTTATGATGAGTCAATGAGTAAGAGTATTTGAAGATAAATATCAATGCAAAAAGGCATAAATTCTGAACTTTATATAAATGTAATCAAAGCATAGGTTGTTTCTACATAGCGTCTATTCAGGAAAAAAACTATAAAGAAAAACACAGAAATTGTTACACAAGTCAACATATTTGTTTTTTTGGGGGGGTGGGGAAGGTTGAGTATTACAATCTGAAAGGGGCACATGGGGGGTTTTGAGGGCAGTCAATGTTCCCTTTCTTGGTCTTTGTGGTGGTTATATGGTTATTCACTTTATAACTAATTTATAATTCTATATATTTTCAATTTTGATAACTACATTTATAGTTTTCCATTTGCATGTTAGATATCAAAATGAAAATGTAATTATAAAAATGTAAAATATAACTTTTAGCAAGAAAATACACATTATTCTATCACATTTACCTAGCTATAGTTTAAACATACATCCTTATACTTTGTACTTTATTAAAAACAAGAAATTCATTAAAGGTTTTTAAATTTGGGGATTATATTGGCCTATAATTATACTACTTAAACATGATGTACTATATTCTCAGTAGATAAAACTCATAAATCTGTAGATGTTAGTAACAGAAAATTAGGAACAAAAGTGTCACCAGAGATATTAATGTTTTATCTACAAACATTAGAATGGAATTTTAGAAAATATTTTTTGAGCTGGATACAATTACTTTAAAATGTATCCTCAAAGAATATTAGTTGAGTATATAAGTTGGACAAGACTATTCTGAGTATACATAAAACAGTAGTGTCGGGAAATAACTAAATGGAAACCATTATTTTTTAAGCTCTCCAGGTTATATAGTTCATCTTATTAGGATTATTCTAAAGAATTTGTTTTCAGTGACTTGATCTAGGTTTGTGGGAAATGCTAAACTTCAAAGAAACAAATGATGGTAGGTAAGGCATAAAAAGTAATTATGAATAGATTCTTAAAGTAAATTGAAGGAAGTTATTTTCAGCTTACAAATTTATTATTTTAATAATTGTAGATAAAAACATGCAAATTCGATTTTAAACACATGTTCAGAATTGTTTTATTAATTTTTATTATTCCCCAGCCACATCTATTTGATGAGACTGAAATACAACTATAAGTACAATTTAAGAAGTATAAGATAAGAAAAGAAAAGTATAATTCAATAGTCAGATACTTTATAATGAAGTACAAAGAAATGGAAGTTTACTAACGTGTACAGATGTAACACAGCTCTAAACGAAAACTTATTAAAGATATCAAAAACTGAAAAATAGAATATTTGAAATATGTAGAGAGTACTTCCAAGATTTCTAGAAAATGTAATAGCATATAGAAAAACAAAACACAAGAAAATTCTGATAAAAGGAAATTCTATTTAACAGCTAGAAATATGTCCATGAAAATGGAAATTGCTTAGGAAGAAATCAAATCTAAGAGTATAGATATTATCTTTTAGATAGTGCTTATTATCCATGCAAAAGTCTTTCCTTTTATACCTTGGTGTGACAGATACTGAAATAAATTATAATAATTTCATATGGTTCTTTATTGTTGTTCAAAATATAGTTGTCTTCTACATCAATGAATCAGTAATCAGGATGATTTGAGAGTTAATGTATGTAAAATAAGTAACTATTTTGTAATTGGTTTAATGATTATGAGTAACAGCCTGCAAATATCTGATCTGCTAAGTCAATTCTTGAAGGCCACTTGGCTTTCCAAAGAAACCTTTCTCAATTTATCCAGCTGTTGATCTACATATCTTTCAAAATTCAACCAAAAAATCACCTCATTTATTCTAAAGTTTATAAGTTCATTTTGGAATCATATTTAGCTAATTTTGAAATTTACCTCTAAGTTTCAGTTTCTTCTATAAATAGATATTAATTAATAACAGCAACTTTATGTGAGTTCTGATGATAAAATACAAAATTGAATATAAAACACTTTCATTTAATAGACTCTAAAATGTGTCTCCTTTTCCCAAGTGAAGCCCTCTCTGTCCCCAACTGACTTGGTTTGGCCATCCTCTTAATTGTATGCATAACACCTGAACACACTGATATTGGAAAGCATTGAAAGGACCCAAATCTATTTCACTCCATAGTCTGTAAGTTTTTCAGGAGCTCTGTGTATTCTCCTTGCACAGCATTGGGTATGACCTACAGACTTTATCTGCTGGACGGGTGAATCACTTAAATTGTCTGGTAGAAGCATCATTGCTATGCTGAAATGTCAGTTGTGGTTGATAAAGTAAGGTATTTACTACTTTAAATTTATGAACTTGACTGACAGAAGTTTCATGCATTTTAGGATAATTGAGACCATTCTAGGGTGAATTTTTTTGAGGGGTGGTATAAATCTAAGAGGTTGCTTAATATAGCACTTACTTGTTCTTGATGTTGACTGAGTGGTCTAGAGTGGACCAATCTTTCTGGCAGTTTTCGATCCAGACCATGTCCATTTTCCAAACGAGACTCCCTGGGTTTGTCAAACCAATCTGTTTCTTCACGACGCAGGTGATAGGCTTTGGAGACCAAGGAAATATCAAACATTGCAACACCAACTAATACAACTGATAGAGGGCAGCAGGTGTCCTAAAGTACCAACATGCACCAGGCTTGTTAACCATTCATGCATTTCAAACGCAACTCCAAATAGGGTGAGAAAGATAAATTCCAGTATTATGTTAAAAAATATATACAATGGAATAACCTAGAAAAAAATCATGTACACGCCTGTTTAACCTCTCAGAGCAAAATAAAACAAAAGTAAATTTTAAATAAGAAAAAATAATTTAGGTAGTGATTGAAATAAATAAATGAACAAGTGAATATTCCTCAGAAGTCATTCTATTCAACCTCAGTCCATTATTTCCCACCTCCTCACCTCTCCCCATCACCCACCACTAGTGTAAGGAAAATGTATTCCTTGAACACAGAAGATTCTGTCACTTTCCCACTACCACATCAAACCAGTACCAATATGGATGTGGCTGCTGGCTTTGGATATCAAGTATTTTTTGAAAACATGATGTTCTTATGACATTCATAAATAAAAGAAAACATTTATTTCTAAGGGGATTCCAGGTATTATTGCTCGGAACATGTGTGCCATAATAATCTGGTAACCTAATATTAAAAAAATAACATTTAGAATTTTTATTAAACAATTATTTTCTGTGAGATTTAGGAATGAGATTGAAGAGTTGACTTCCTTTTGTATTTATAATGTGACAAAACTTGATATCTTAAAATACTTTTTGAAAATGTAACCAAGTACATATAATTATTACTTTTAAAGCTATTATTTAGTTACCAAAAATTCTATTTTACTTAATATACAGAATTTAACTTTATACATATAGAGTTTTATTCTTGGTAAAAGGATCCCTAAATAACAGTCTCTGGAAATACATTGTTGCTTCCTAAACAGCAGATGGAACAGCCTTTTCAAGTACTCATCCTGAAAGACTGGTTGGTGATGATGTCAAACTATGCCTTCTGGAAAGTCAAACTTCTACAATGCCACACTATTGGGTTCTATCACACTACAGCTTTCTTTTAACATCTCCATCCCTGTTTGTCTTCTCTTTCAAAACTTTCTCCCAAGACCTTTTTAAAGGTGATTTTCATTATTTGTTTTGCTAGTGGGGCAAGCAAACCCACAGCATATACAACACGACTTCTTTCTACCTCCTGTGATCTTGGTCAGTGGCAGTGATTAGCCACAACATTTCTTCCCAACAATCACGAAATCATGGAAAATGTGTCATAATTTAGTCATTCTTAGATTTGAGGAAATACAATGGCACATACCTGATTTGTGGTTCTATATATGCTTCTCTGATCTCCCCTATTAGATTCTAAGCTGCTTGAGGGCAAGGCTCATATCTTATATATTTTTTTCTTCCCTCAACAATAAAAATAATGTCTTGCAAATGTCATAACATTCAATAAATATTTAGAAGTGAATAAAACGAAGAAACTAGTTATCAACTAGAGAAAGAAGTTAAATATCCTAATTATAATATGTGTATTTTAAAATGAATACTAAGTTGTTCCTTTAACCTTATTCATAGTCACACAATCATTTATCACAATCTACTGGATATTTATTATGTTTTTTCATAGTTTTAATTAAATATGAATTGACTAAACTTATGAAAAACATATTTGGTGTAATATAATTTGATAAGTAAATATAAAACACATCCATTATTTAATGATCAGCCTAAAATTTTATTAGATTATCCCAACAACACTATTTTATTGTATTATATACATTTATATTATTATGAAAAGAAAAAATAATCTATACTGATTTTAATAAATGAATATCTTGGATAATATAGTACATGATTTCACTTGAATACACTTCTGTTCATTGCATTTGAAATACAATCCTTTAAAACATGTTTCCTTGACTGTGTCTATAGAAATAAGACAGAATCTCAGCCTGATCCAAATTTTGTCAATTTATTTCCAATTCTAACTACATATTTTGATTGTCTGATATTTCTTATAATAATTCTACATGTAAGTTAGGATGTCTACCATACTTTGCATAGGAATTTATAGACCAACCAAGAAAAATAGGACTGAATAAATCTGCTTTCACATTAAATTCTGTCTTCATCATTATAGCAAGTTAGATATAAATGCTAATTGTTTATAACTACAATTGTCTTATCTGCCATGGTAATATGTGCTCTAAAAATTAAATTTTATAATAACATTTTCCAAATTAGTTTAAATAATTTGCTAGAGATTAACAATCCCCCCTTTTTAAAGTGATATTTTCTTGAATTCTTAAATGTAAAATACAAGTAAGCTATTTCGGGGTCTAGCATTATTCACAGCCAACAGTTACATGAACAGTTTAATTCTCTTCAGTATCAAAAATTGGTCTAGATAGGTAGATAGATGATAGATATTTTAAAGACTGTACATATTGATGCTTTTTTTTTTTTTTAAGAAAATATACTTTGAAATAATGTTTTTTTTTAAAAAATTGTGGTTGTAGATATAAATATTATTTGAGTGTTTCCAGTTTTCTTCCCTCCAATTTGCTCTAATAGAANTAAAAATTGTGTAGATATAACTATTATTTGAGTGTTTCCAGTTTTCTTCCCTCCAATTTGCTCTAATAGAAAGCTTTCCTGCTTTGTACTTACTCAACCATACATGCATATTGAGTTGTGGACTTCAACCTGATGGCCACAAATATTAAGCAGTGTAAATTATGCATACCTAGATTTCATCTCAAGTGAGCTATTTCAAAATTAACTAGAGTCATATAGAACATACCTGAAAAATATCTAATGGTCTATAACCTAGAGTTTGTTTGTATTCAGAGAAATTGCACAATAAGCAATTTGAAGTCAGTTAAATTGGTTTTGTCTACATGATACTAAATAGCCTGTTGAAATGCTATACTTTTCAAAATTATCTTAGAATCATACAAATAGAGATATAGCATCATTCTTGGTAAAAAAAAATTATTTAAAAACTCTAATACTTCATGAGTTCATAAATGAGTTATGTGATTAGAAAAAATATTTTTTATTTTTCTCCTTAATTACCCAAGGAATTCAGAATCTCAAAGGAAAAGTAGGCCACTGCTAACTAGAAGTTGTATATTTATATGATATAAAAGTAAAGAAAATATGATATTAAAACACACAACTTTTAAAGATAATCACTACAATTCAGACACATAATATCTCATATGTAAAATAATGTTATAGTTGTCCTTTGCTTAATTCTGTATCAACATGATCTTTATGACTAAAATTTTTGTCTGCTTAATTTTTAAATATATTTTAGTTTAATTTCATTTTAATTGTTTATTTCTGGTATGTTTAAAAACTTCATAATTTTGTATGCTGTACGATGTCTCATCATCTACTTTATCAAATCAATTTTTTATACAGTCTTGATAATTATGAACACACATCATCCAAACATAAATACGAACTAAAACATTTGGTTATTTTTATATGGTTCTATGTAAATAAATGCAACATTTTAGAATATCTGGAAATATCTGTGTGTATGTCTGGCACCATGTTGATAAAACATTTGTGATGAATAAATGAATTTGTCAAATTTTCTCCAAATATGTGCTCAACATGCACACACAGCCTTTAAGTGTTTAGCTATGCCAAAGACCTATGAGAGTTTTATTTGTATTTTGTTATTTCATGGATATGATTACTGAAGAGCCTTTTTATTCTTCTGCAGCAAAAGAATAAAATGTGTGTAAAATGTGGATTATGAAAAACGTAAAAAAAAGAAGACTGTTTCCACATGATAGCATAACACTTGTTCAAACTATCTAAATAAAAGAGTAGTGTTTTATTTAATTGACTTATTATCAGTAAAAATGGTCATTCCAATTGATAGCAGAGAAGAAAACAAATCAGAAAGTGGTTAGCTGTTGGAATTTCACTAGGAAGAGCAGTTTGGCTCCAGATCCAGTGGTTACCTTGGTCCTTTTCAAATCTAGACTGGAATTTCTAAAATCATATTGATGGCTAGATGCAGAAGTAGAAAGGAAATCCTTTTCATGAAAACATACTTTCCTGTGAGTGCTCAAGGAGAATGTAAGATTTAAAAGGGGAGATATTGCCCTGGCCAGTTTGGCTCAGTGGTTAGAGCATCAGCCCGTGGACTGAAGGGTCCTGGGTTCGATTCCAGCCAGGGGCATGTACCTCGGTGGCAGGCTCGACCAATTGATGTGTCTACAGTCTATCTCTCTCTCTCTCTCTCTCTCCCCACCTTCCACTCTCTCTGAAAAGCAGTGGAAAAAATATCCTCGGGTAAGGATAAAAATAAATATAAATAAATAAATAAATAAATAAATAAATAAATAAATAAATAAAAGGGGAGATATTCATTTAGCTTAGTGCTTTGCAGTCTCCAAAGGCATGACGNAGATATTCATGTTAGCTTAGTGCTTTGCAGTCTCCAAAGGCATGACGTAATCCACTTTTATTGACCAGAAATATTTTATTTCCAGGACTCAAACCACAGCTACATTCAAATAAGCCACAGAGGATGTGACCAAAAAAGATCCAGAGTCACCAGCCCTCTTGGCATGAGCAAGACTCTTTACATCTCTGTACCTCTCCTCCCTTGTCTTCAAAATTAGACTTAAACTAGATAATTTTCTAAAATATTTATGGTTCTACATGATTAAACAACAACGAAAACACCATAAGCCAGTATTTAGCTAAGTGTGTAATTGCCTTAAATCACTTATTTGATATGAAAAACTAGCCAAACAATTTAGGGCAAAAAAAGGAAGGATGCAAAAAGCGAAGCCAAGGAAACAACTCAACAGGTGCACCTGGAGGGCTTCAGCTCCAAACAGCTAAACTCATAAAAGCACTGTTCAAAATTTGGATTTTAAACCTAAAAAATACCTTATATATATAATGAAAAGATAACTTATTGTCAATATCATACTTGGTGCTAAGCTTTCTAATTTATAATGCAAAAGTACAAATTTGTCAATTATGGTATTCATAATGAGAGAGATAAAATACAAACCTTTTATTTAAGGAGAATTATGAAATTATGCATTTACTAATATCAGGGACCTATACAAAAATTATCAGATGAGAACATTCTCTGAATTAATAAATACTAGTCTCACAAAAATGACATAATTTCTTTATTACGAAGTCTGGCAGAATAATACTTAATGGCTCTAAACCTTAATAACTTCACAAACTGAAAGAAACTTACCAGTAACATTAAAAATGCATTTAAAAAATAAAAGAAACATACAATGAAAAACTTTCCAACTGTGGATTTAAAGAATGCCCATTTTATTGACACAATTACTGATATTGGTTTTGGAAAAGTGGATGGCAAACAAATAAAGCAATTAGGAAATAACAGTAAAAGAATAAACTAAAAAGAAATAAAGAAAAGCATGCTACAAAATCTATACACAAGATAAAGTTTCCATTTTACAAGAAATAAAACTGAAGTAAACATGCAAAACACAAACCAAGAAAAGTAGAATGCATCCTTACATAAGGAAAATTAAACATGCAGAAAAACAAGAGTTTGAGTTTTGAGAATAACAAGGTAGTTTGAGGCCCAATTTACCTTCGCTGTCTGACATGGCATGTTGGAAGTCATCCATTATGAATGCTATGTCACGGTCATAGCCTCGAGTCCGTGATTCTTCTCGCATGTGCTGCTGAACTTCAGGCAATGAGTGACTTGATCCAAACTGATCTCTGGTGTCTGCAGATATTGGTGGCAGGGGTCCAGCTGCTGCCCTGGCCATTCCCATTGGCTGGCCAACTGGACTGAGTGGACTTTCTTCTTCAGAATTCTGGGCCACAATTGGTATTCTTCCCCTACTCTGGCTAATCGGCAAACTGGTAGGTTTAGTTCTGCCAGAGGGTGATGCATGACCAAAGGAAACATCTAGAGCTTCAGCCTCTTGAGCTTTCAGTCTTAGAGAAGAGCTGGAAGAATCTCTTTTGATTGATAAATCAAGCCCATAGACAGAAGAAGGTCTGGAAGAAGGTCTGGACCTGCTGCCACTACTGTATGGCTTATCCGCTTCATCCTGCAGAGCTGACCGTATGGTATTGCCTAATGTGCCCAGTCCTGTGCCAAGAGATGACCCCATAAATTTTTGTTGATCTGTAATATTTTTTCTGAGGCCAAAAGTGATATCATCTTGAAGAAGCCTTGCTCTAGAAGAAATTCCACCAATAGATGAAGTGCTAGATGTCATATAGCTTGAATAATCAGGTTCCAGGTCTCTACTTTCTTGAATAGGTGAAAATTTTGACATTTTAGGGTCAATTAGTGATTTCTTATGCTTGGACTGCTTTTGATAAAGTATGGCTGGTGGTAGTTGTTTTGCTGCTTGTTTTTCAAGTGTGAGTCTACCAATGCTGTACTTTTCAGATTTTGGAAAATGTCTGTAGCCAGTATCAGCATGGTAATAATGGGAGAGACTAGCAAGGTGATCTAAGCTCTCTGCCCCTCTACGGAATTCTTGTTTAATCTGATGTTTCAGGAGCTTTAACTCATATGGATCCTCCATTGGATCTTCCTCTGCTTTCACATAACTATGCAATCTGGAGGAAGTCTGTAAAGGTGCTAGGAAATCTGTCACTTCTTGAGACCTCCGTGTTTCAGTGGTTCTAAGGAGACGGTCTGTTTTCGACAGATCCTTGTCATGAAGACTAAATGCAGTGGTTAATGCTGCTGTTCCTTTGGTAATCTCTCCAATGTCATCAATTAGGACAAAATTTCGTGCAGTATGATGGTCAATATCTGTGTAAAAAGAATCTGCAGAGATGCTTGATATTGGACTGCTTGCCATGCTACTTCTCTCCTCCAATCCTATTCTCAAGTCTAAGCTATTGTACTTACTACCAAGATGGGAAACAGCATATGTATTATCGGTGGAAACAGGTGCTATCATCAGGGGTTGGTTGCGAATCACCTCATAGTTTGAAGTTATCTTGGGCTCCAAATACAATGTAGTTTGCCGTGGCTTCTGTTGTATCACCATCATCTGCGATGGTAACTGGTAAGAAGGTTGTGGGGTTGGTGTAGGTTGAGCTTGAGGTGTGAAGGACATTGTTGCCACAGCCTGGAATGTTGGTTGAGTCTGATAAGGTGAAACTTGCTGATGGTACAAAGTCTGTTGCTGAAAATGGGATTGTTGGGTGTATGGGGTGGGTGCTTGGGTAGGAAGAGCAGGAGAAGAATATTGGTATTGTGTATAAGGACTCGTAGGAGGAACTAGCTGAGATTCTGTTTGGGTTTGTGGAGGTATAAACTGGCTGAATTCTGTTTGGGGAGCAGTTCTTGGTCGCTCTATGCCATGCTGGCTTTCTATTCGGGATGGCCTGGTGCTGCTCACCTCACTGTCAGACATGTAATCCCGATCCTCGGCTACTCCCTGGAGGTAGGCTCGCTCTCTCTTTTCTCTCTCCTTTAACAATGCCTCTTTCCTCCTGTTAATTCCCATTTCTAGGTACCTTAATTTGGCATCAATCTCCTTTTCTTCCTCATCAAGTTCTGCTTGTTTCTTTCTAAGTTTTGCAGATTCCCTCTCTACAAGATCAAGTTCTCTGTCTATATCCTGGAGAATCTTGGCTCGTGCCATGGTGTTGGTTCTGCAGATCCTTCTCCTGGAAACTGTGCCCATTGTGCTGTAAGTTGACTGAGTTCCTGTTGAGGTCTCCTCAGGAGGTGGGTTAGGCAGCGTTCTCTTAACTTTTTTCTGGGTGCCAGAGGGTGTTATGGTCTGAGAACTTTTAGTCTATAATTAAATAAACAAAATATAGTACTTTACTATCAAGGAAAAAGTTAAAGATAAAAAACCTTCATAATTTATACGTAAATAAATATTTTTTAGGTATGACAGTATAATAAAATTAAAGTGTTATACATAATTTTAAATATTAGCCACAAATGCAATTAATTGAAAAATCATTTTTTCTTTCTTGGTAAATTGGTTATCATTATAACTTCTGCAACATTAGAAGTGAGTTTTGAAATCAAGCACAGAACTCAGTGCTAGGCATGCTTATATTTTAGCTAGACTCTTAGGAGAACCCTAAAAGCTGATTTTTCATCCTATTTAGTATCATGAGATTATTTACTGAATGTATTCCTAAAATATTTGTATTAACTACCTAAAACTTAAGTTACGTTTGTTAGAGATAATACTTATCTACCACTGGTAAGTTCAATTGTTTGCTTCAATCTTTCCATTCCTATTTTTACCACCTAGAATAGCTGTCATTCCTATTCCAATCATGAAATGTTTTGAAATTAAACCCTCAAATTCTTTAACATCTTTTTTCCTCTAAAATAAGTAACCTGAACAAATATCCCATTTAATCTTCCACTATTTTTGTGATTATTTGGGTCTTGTATTTTCTTTCAACTTTATTATTCTTCATTAATTTTTACTTCTTAATGCTTTAGCAACTCCTACCAAAAGCAAAAATAATTCCACCAAAACAAAACAAAACAAAACAAAACAAAACAAAACAAAACAAAACAAAACAAAACAAAAACCTGACTGCAATAAAAATCCATTGAAATCTTTTTTTAATTAGATAAAGAATATCATTTGTGAACTGGCAGATATTTTCAATTTCATGTGGTTAATTTGTCACAAACTTGCCTTCTAAGAATCACACAATTTTACACTGTCAAATATGAGAGAACATATTCACTATTTATAGTTAAGACAAACTAATGTCAGTTAACCAAGCATTTAGTAGCATATTCACAACTACATCTTAGGTCTTCTGCCTTCTAGTTGCATATTCTTTACAATTTCTTTCTTTTTCTTACTTATAATCCAAAGACCTTAATTCTTTTCCTTCTCCCAATCACCAAATATTGAGGGCAGAAAAAGAATAGAAAATATATAAGAATTATGCCTAAATAATTAGATCATATTTGTCCAAGACCCTGTGCCTTCAATGCCTTTTATTATTTCTAAACTCATTTCCATGGTGTTTTTATCTGCTTTCTGTTATAATTTTTCTGCTCTCTTTATCTACCCTCACTAATTGTTTCTGTAACAGAAATCATAATCAGATGCATAGCTTAAATATCAATTGAGGTTTATGTATATTTCTGACATTTAAAACATCTGCATGCAAATTCATAATGATTAAATATTGTGATTCTGTGAAATATGTTAGAGTGATTTTGAAATTGTAGACTGTACCTCCTCACAGAGAAATCTCAAAGAATATGGGAAATTGGAGCCTCAAAAGCAGCTGTTTTGGTATGCTATTTATTCTCTCTCCCCCTCAAGTCTTTTCATTTTACTTAATACAATTATGAGGTTATTATGAAGCAGTGTGCAAAACCTGTGTACATATTATAGGCATCCATTAAATATCATTTCCTTGCAAAATCTCTTTATTTCTACAGAAAATATAATTTTGATAAATTCATATTCTACATCTTTTTTTCAAAATTTATTTACAAAATTATAAAATTTGAAATCTAATAATAATTTCCTTAATAATTTTCTAAAATACTACTATGGATATATGTCTTCTATTTTTAAAAAGTTTTTCCATGATATATTTTCTGTTCTCTGAATATGATGGTGCACAATGGGAGGCTGAAATTACTGTTTATTTTTCCCTGACTTTCATTTGGCATATTTGGTGTATGCATGAGAATTTTAAAATTTAAAATGTTCATTTGCACTACATGCTAGTGGCTGCAAAATGGTTTAATAAAAGGGTGTTTAACTGTGCTACCCCGAAAGTGTTCTGGCATTGCACAAAATGGAGACATTTCTAAGTAAGACTTTTTCTTCCCATCAAAGGAAGATTAAAAACACCCATCAATTAATACAACACTAAATGCTGATCCTGGCAGAGAAAGCATACACAACAGAGACAGTAACCATGACATGAAGCAAATAAATGCAATGAAAAGAATTTCTAGGGTAGATACATACATTTTAAAAAATAATTTTTAAAAATATTGAAGGCATCCATTGAATGGGTGCATGTATTTGTTAAATGAAAGAATGAGAAAATAAAAGGGTAAAATTAGAACTTACTGTGATTAATTTTAAAGGTTCTGAATCAAGAAGTGAATTTCTCAGAATTCACTGACTTGAATAAGAGTATATATGAAATCACAGGAAAAATAAAATCATGAAGAACAACAACAAAAAAGACTATTTATTGCATTAAGAGTAATGGTTAATAAAGTGCACTAGAAATTGATATTAGCTCTTATTACTTATTGCTCATACATGTAAGAATTATTTCCTAATTTAACTTTATGACTAATATATTATAGTCTCACTTGAGACAGTAGGTTTAGTCAAATTCATTTTTTTGGTTAATGTAATCCTAGGTACTGGGGATTTCAAATTATCCTCCAGAGTTGCAAATATTTACTCATCTGTGGCTTGTGTTAATTAATATTTTGTGTGCCATAAATGTGAGTCATGGAAGCAAGAGACAGAGCTGGTTGGTAGAAGTTATGTACTTACTGAGTTAGCCTAGCTGACCACTCAGTCTCTACAAATTGAACTAGTTTGCTGTTCTTTACTTGGCAACGTTACTAGCTTTTACTCTGACTGTAGAAGTCAAGAAGTCGGAGACTTCTCAAGGTCTCTGCCATATTTCTTCCAAATGAGAGGAAGTGTAACATAATGACTCAAAGCTTAGTCTCTTTTTAATCCCGGCTCTATCTTTCACAAGCTGTGAAACTTTTAGCAAGTTGCTTAAACTCCCTAGGCCTCACTTTTCTTAAATGTAAAAGAAGGTTAATATTTATCTTTACATTATTGGTTTAAGGAGTAAATGAGTTAAAAAAAAAAAAAGTCTAAATTACTTATTGTTCCTGATGGCAGACAGAAATATAATAGATAATTTAAAATGATGTCTTGGCAACTTATAATTTTAAAAAAACTGAATTTCAAGACCATAAATAACTTCTAAACTGGGCATTTAATTCTAATCCAATCAATATAATGTAAAATAAGAGTACAGAACTCCAAAACAGAGAATCAAAACAAAGCAATATAATTGCTTAGAAAAAATGTATAAAAGAAAAGTTCATCATGATTAAAGGCGATATTGTTGGACACCATGATTAGAGATGAGAATAACAATCTAGAAAAATCTTAGTGTTTAATAAGATTTTCCTTATGACCAGCTTATTAAAAGTTGTCTTTAGATAGATCTGGTGCCCTTAATCTGAAAAAAAATTATCATACTAAATAACTGTATATATAAATTTAAATTATTTTCAAATAGCTATGCAAATAGCAGACCAATGGAAAAGCCCTAACAATAGAATGGATGGAGGTTGAAGGGGGGCCAGGGAGAATAATTCATTTAAATTGGAGTATTTAGGAGGTAATTGTGGTAACAAGCAAATACACTCCAGGAAAAATTTTGCTGTCCAAAGTTATTTTAAACAACATTCTTCTCAGGGTTATCAATTTATACTATGCATCTTATATGCAAAGGAAAGAAATTCTTCCTTGTTCTGAGGTGTCAGGGCTATTAATAAAATAAAAGTAGCTAAGGTCTATGGACACACTATCCTAAGGACTTCAAATATATGTATATGCATTATCTCATTGTCAAAATCATCTAAACTCAATCTAGGGATGATTAAAAGATACCTATTTTTCCCCTAATAGGTGAAGAAGCAAAAAATAGATACTGGACCAAAATTATTTATCGATTGCTATATATAATAAATATATATTCAACTTACTAATTCATTGCAGTAGTTGCTAAGTATAATTCTAAAATCCAGTGTTCTAGATACTAATGACACAGAGTTAAAAGGCACGAGATTAAATAAACCTAAACCCTGTTCTCAAGGAATTCATAAGTCAGGAATGTTTTATAGACTGTTGTATGAAGAAACTACTTCAGTCTTTTCCTAAATAGCCCTTGTTGTTAATATCAGAGATATAAGGACTTAGGAATGTATTTTTCATTTTATAAATATAGAAAACTAGACCTGCTGTTGGAAATCAGTGTTCATCATGATTAAATATCTTGGACTTTTAAGCTTGTTCTTTCAGTTAAACAGGAAATATTTTTATGAAAGCCTCTTACTTTTAGATAATGGAGATGTGGATTCACTTGCAAACAGTACAATTCCACAAAGATTTATCAAGTAAATGATACTTTGATGGAGATAAATATCATATAACTTGTTAAAAGATCATCTATACAACAAGTCAGAAGGTGACTTAGAGATTATATAAACTGAGTGTATTGGGACCCAGAATAAGAATGGTTTACTTTTAGTTTAGGGAAGGAAAGATGGATTAAGACATGATAGTGAGCCTGGTTCAGGAAGAATGGATGGGACTTAAAACAAGAATATTTTCTATGTGGAAGGAACAGTATGAAATGCAATTTTTCATAGAGGCACCAAAGATTATCTGGTTTCACTTCATGCTAGTGATGCATTAATATCTATGAGATGGAAAATTCAGAGTATCTTATGAAAATAGAAAAATAAATTTTACAGGAAAAAAACACACCTGGAAAGCTATATCTATTTTAAAAGTTCTATTCATCCATTTTCATTTTTTTACAGATGGAAAAGGCAACCCTGGTTATTACATACTGGTCAAATTAACTCCAATATCATGTGAAATACCAGGGCAAAGCATGAAAATGCAAATGTGCCATCATTGGCAATGACTGTAATGCAGTGCACTGGGTAGCAATCAGTGTGGCTTTGCTAAAGAGAAAACTGTGCCAGCCCAACTTAAGACCCTTCAACGATAATGTG